CATTTTGTTTTCCATTTTGTTTCTCGTGTTCGCTTTGTTTTGGACCCGTAACACCCCTCTTCGATGAGGGACAAAATATCTAAACAGCACCTGGCTAGAACTACATGTATAAAGATTCAATTTTAGAGCTTAATTTTGGTTAGATGTTACTTCAGATAGGTTGCAATTTCAGATGCAATATTTTTTATATAAAAACAAAAAATGTTTTAAACATGTTTTAAATAAAACACAAAAAAATAAAAAAACATGTTTTTTGCCATCCCTAACTGATACTGTATGCATCGATATAAACTTAATACTTTACACTTACTCATTTCACAGAACTGACTTACACACACATATGATATCGAAACTATATGACGCACATCGCGTATCTGTGACCAGTATCAAACGGCTAGAACAATCAGCCCAGAATCGGCACGGACCCAACAGAGAATCTCTATGAGTTCAATGAATTATCATTGAAGTCCATCCGAAGACCCATTGACTTTTTTTTCTCATTGGATAGCAAAACTGCCAATCTTGAGAAACAAAATAGTGGAAATTCGTTTAATTAGCTAGTACGATAAGATAAAATTTTATGAATCAACATTGTTTTTATTCGCAATGGTGATCTAGTCTAAACATTAGAAATTTTAATAAAAATGTCTTTTAACTCCCATAAGTGATACTTGAAATTCCTGTAAGTTTTTGTCACAGAATATTTTTGTATGATTGGTTTAATTTCCGATGCCTTCTTTAAATTTACAATAGCAATCTATAAATCTCTCTGTAAACATGTGTACTATGTTATTCTGAATTAATTTATCAATGCTCATTTAAATCTGCAAGCGGATTAGTGGCATGTTCAGAATTTAGACTATTCAAAGGCCATAACATCCCAAACGTTAAAAAACAATATAAAATGGGAACTGATATTTCCGCAGATCACTCGTTTTAAACAGTGTTAACAATTGAGCGAATTTGGGTATATAAAATTTTATCCATGTGCCTGTCGTGCCTGAAGTTGACACTTGCCTGAAGTTACACTTGACTAAAATTGCCTAAAATTACCTAAAATTACCAATTAATGCATGCAGGATGATCTAATTTCAGGGGTTAATTTCAGTCAAGTGCAACTTCAGGCAAATGTCACGACATGCCCATGTCCAAATGAAATTTTTATTGGACATAGTCCAAATGCCAACATTGGTTTAAAGCTTTGATCAAAGATACAGTATCTCAATAACCACCTAATAAACTTCGAAGAACTTTTTTTCTATTTAAATTCTATGAATTCATAGAATTCAAATAATGATAATAATAATGATAATAATAAGGTTCATCGGATTTCGTTCAGATGATTGTCGAGATATTTTGATAAAAGTTTGGAAAATTTTAAACGTCTATCAAAAATGCAAACCACGGCAAAATTTTTCATGAATTTGATCGTATCTCAACTACTTTATGAAATTTGATGAACTTCTGCTTATTTGAATTCATAGATTCATAGAATTCAAATAAAAAAAAAGTTTATCGAATTTCATTGGAGATACACACCATCGATTAAAGTTTGAAAAATGATCTGCTGGATGCAGTTCCCTATAAAATATCCATCATTTTGAGACTTTTAATTTTTCAGAAAGGCTGGATCAGAATTTTCGGATCTTTTTTGTAGTCAATTATAATAAATTCCACATCACGTACATTTTAACCAGTAAAATCATAGCATTTATTAATCACTTGAAATTCGACTTTAATCATGAAACCGATGTACGCAAATCATTTCTCTAAATTTCACCATGCTTATGAGCGCCAAGTCCAATAAGGTGATCAAATTTACAGGTTTCGTTATACCATGGCTTACACAATTGCAGAATTGTATCCGATACTATGGCGTTATGGTACTTCTCAAAAGAGAAATGACATCGCCTTTTAATTGATAAAATTCAAAAAAGGAAATTACAACAATATCACTGATTGTTAATTACCATAATGATAATTTGCGGCAAATAGTACCCGAGTCTCCTACATTCCTAGGGGCAAAATCTTGATTAGGTTGACCAATCATTTAATAGAATGGATTATAACGAAATTGAATATACCCGAGTCTACAATCATGTTTGCGAGACATATCCAGGTACAAATCGTGGGGGTACGCTAACAAGGGGAGTACTATTTGCCGAAAATTACGATATTATCGCTTCTACGTATAATCCAAATAGTGTTCATGTCCAAATACTGGTCAAAACATTAAGATAAAAACGGAATTTCATTGGGTATTTATTTTTTTTTACCTTTTCTTTTTGTTTATATATTTGAGCGATGCCAATGAAAAATGAAACTTCAATCATATAAAACTTATATAATTAAAGCTCCATCTTCCCATGCGTCACTCATTTAAGGGGTATTTTGGGAGAAGAAAGCTTGCCAAGACAAACAGTGTACCCATGAATTCTAATTTATACAATATTTACTATAATCATCAGTGTTGTACATTTTCATTGCCCAAAGATTTTTGAGTGAAGTTTTTTCAATAACCACCAGTTCAAATTTAATTCTACAAGTATACAGAATTAAAATAAAAAAAAAATCATCAAATTTGATCAGATAGTTATCAAAAAAACTTCACTCAAAAGAATAATAATGCTTTATAGTTTATTATGTATTTGCTTAAATATATTAATTAGGAATATGCAGAGTTTAATATGATTATTATAAATAAGGAAACTATCGGGAGAAGTATCGGTACATACAGTATTTGATATGCGTTTACCCTTTAGTTGCCTTTTCAATATATTTAATTTAGGAAATGCATTTCTAACGCTAAATAGTAATGTAATAAAAAATCCTTAAATGTCTTGTCATGTGATATTACGTAGTTACATATAAATTTATAAATTTCCTACTTTTTGATCGGAACTGTGGTATTATTAAAGTTTAAATTCCTGCATTATCACTATTTCGAAATTTCACTTTTTTGTCCTTTACAATGAAGTTTTTATTTTCTATATAACAATAAATATATAAAACTATTTTCTCCTATATACTTCAAGAAAAGAATATTGTTATGAGATTATCATTAAGCCACCGGGTTTATAATTTTCTTTGGATTTATTTTATTTTAGGAATAAGTGTGGTTGCTGAATATCGTTCTTATAATGGTGTCGGTAACAATGTTGCAAACTCTTTAGCTGGATCCTCTGGAACGCCATACTTTATTAATGAACCAATTACTCAACGATTCGATAATTCTACCATTGGAAGCATGCTACAATGTCCTGGAAATTATATTAATATATCAGCTATAAATTGCACAAACCCATTGCAAATTGGCCAATTCCCTCTTCCAAGATGCATTAGTAACTTAGCTAACAGTCTTCACAAATCATATGTTGATTACAATAATATATCATATATTGATTCTTTGAAATCGAAAAGAAAGTCGTCACACTTGGTAAGATCAATGATCACCACTATCACATGACTTAATTTAAGTGACATCGTTTATATCGACATAGATGACTTTCTGGATTGATTTTTTAGCATTTGATATTGTCAAAAGCATTGAAACTGGTAACTTTATAATTTTTTTAATGGTTAATCTCTTTGGATATTATAAATTACATAAGGATTTACTAAATTAATTAAATATCAAGGTGAAAATTATAATAATGGTATTCTAATTCCTAATGATGATAAACTTTATCTCTCATATGGTGTTGAGAACGCTACTTCGCCCCCAACGGTAATAGCTACTAAAAAAGAAAAATCTGCTTACCTAATGTATTATGTAATCATCATTACATTTATTAATTTATTAATCTTAAAAATAATTACAGCCAGCATTACAATTTAATCGAACGTATTCCGTGAGCCGCGGAACGGTAAATGAAGCAACATCCTTTCTTGATGGCTCTAGTATATATGGTTTAAATGAGACAAATTTGAACTTAACATTAAGAGACCATGTAGATCTATGTAAAATGCGTATGAATTATACGGTAGATACTGCAGATGGCAAATTTGGATATCTTCCACGAGGTAATTTTTTTCTATTTATTTCAAAAAAAAAAAAAAAAAAAGATTACTACTAATTAACTTCTTTAATTAACTTCTCTAGGAGAAAATGGTCAATATTTAATTGGACATTTACCTAAGCGTGGTGGTCACGTTTTTACGAATGTGTTTCATGTAATTTTTATTCGTGAACATAACCGTAAATGTGATGAATTACGCAAATTATACGGTAATTCTTTAACCGACGAAGAATATTTTCAAGAAGCCAGGAAATGGGTTATAGCACTTTTGCAAGTGGTACAATATAGAGAATATCGTAAGTACATTTTAACGATAACACTTCAATTTGCTACTAATATCATTGTTATGATTATTTTGCATACTAATTTATATACTTACATGGGTACAAAGTGCCAATTATAATGGGAACAACATTACCAACATATACAGCATATAATTCAACACTTACGCCTGGATTAGATTACTTTTTTGTAGCTTCTACTTTTAGATATGGACATTCTGAAGCTAGGTATATATAAATCGATACATCCTTAAGACATGGTATTACAATCACTTATTATTGTTATTTTTTTTTTAAAAAAAAGTGATAGCTATCAGATCGTGAATCAAAATGGTGAACCTGAGTCTACCCTGATGCTAAGAGATTTACAGTTGCCTGACCTCATAGAAATTTATGGTGTGCCGACGGCTGTTCTATCTCTGTCATTACAAAGGTACGAGGCAACAATGATTTGTAAAAAATTTATGCTAATTACTGACTGTATTAAACTTTAACGATGGGTAATTTTAGACAAGAAGAGTTGGATATTTTATATTCGGATTTTATGCGAGCACAAATTGTCGAGGGAAATTTTACTGATATTGCAAGGTATTATAACTTTTTATTTCTTTTTTTATTTCTTTTTGCTATAATGATTTGTTACGTACAATTTATATTTGATATAACATCCAATAGTATCGACCATCTCCGTTCACGTGACCATGGCATGCCAATGTATAACGATGTTAGGGTAAATCAAATCAAAAAGCTTATTTCTGAAGAGATCAATTAAACTTTACACACATATATATATATATTTGACGTGTGTTTTTCAAAAAAAGACGGCATTAGGTTTAACGAGAGCGAATACTTGGTCTGACATTACAAAGGATGTTTTTGTCCAAAAACGCCTGCAATCTTTATACACAAGCATTGATCTAGTGGAAGCATATGTTGGAGGTCTTGCAGAAGATCATCTTCAAGGATCAAATTTTGGGCAACTATTTCAAACAAGCATGATACAACAGGTTGGTTATCTAAAATTATTTATTATTTATTATATATTGTAATGACTATTTTTATTTATTCAAGTAATTTTGACATTGGATTCAATCAATTAGTGGTCTTTGATACGTGATTCGGATCGATTCTGGTATGAATCTCCAGATGCCGGTTTTACTAGTGCTGAAATTGATATCCTTCACAATACCACTCTCAGCGATATCGTTCTCCGAAATACACCAGTTGGTACTTCCCTTCCTCAAAACCTTTGGTTTGTTCAACCAAGACCTGATTTAAATATCAATAATATTACTGGTGATCAAAATGATAGTTATCCTCCTCTGAATGTGTTAACATTATCTAACGTGTATAAAATTCAATGGAAGATGATTAGTGAAGACATTTACTTAAAAATGACAATGTTAAGTGATACTGCTTGGTTCGGATTCGGCTTTAACTCGTTAGATGGTGGAATGATTGGTACCGATTTTTTAATTGTTAGCACCATTAACTCCTCCAATGTAAGTGCTGGTAATTATCATTCTGATGGATATCGTCCTCCGATAAAAGATGATTATCAATTTGTGGAAGTGATCAGTTGCAACGTTTCGAAAGAACTTACCCAAGTTGAAATTAAAAGACCATTAAATGCCCCTGGCAAATTGCCAATATCAAATAAGATGACAAACGGTAATTCATTTTTTTCATTCATTAACCATTTATTATCTTTATAATCCTGTAATCTAAATAATAACTTTAATCCTTTAATTTAGTGATTTATGCTTGGAATCCGGTAAATGCCATTAAAATAAGGATTGGAATCGGTTTAGTCGACTATTGATAGTAGTTAAATAGATTAATTTTTTTAGTCGAATAAACTGTTTCTAATTCTTATATTAAAGCTTTCAAGTTATTCAATTTCACGAACTAATGAATTTATTTTTTATATTTAAAGTCTTCAAATTATCTAAGTTATCATGGCGGAAACAGAAATAAAGCTTTAGTTAATTTCTTTAGCGGTGGGGCTGCCAGTTCATCTGGTATTGGGGATAGCATGTTTTTGACAAGGTTGGCCCACGGTATTTCAATGGCTTTAACTTGGAGGTACAGTATACTATCTATATGTTCCATGATGTTATATTGTTCTAATTTATTACTATTGACGTATATTATACTTATTTATATGACTTACGTTCTTTAGCGTTTTATTTCCAGCCAGCATCTTTATTGTTAGATATATGAAACATAATGATAATCATATGAAACAGGTAAAGTGTAAATAGTGTAAATTGTAATGGAAGGTTTTTTAAGTGTTTATAATATAGTGAAAACTAACCCGAATGTTATTGTAGCATCGAAATATTCAGATTTTTGGTAGTGTTAGCGTTTTCACTTTTGGTTCTGCAGCTATGGCAATTTCACAAGATCAACAGCGAACCTTGCATGGAGTGTATGTAAAAAAATAAGCCATTAATTTTCTATCTAAATATTTAATATTTACGATTTCAATTCCTATATGCATATAGTCTTGGAATTACATTATATACCGGTGTTTTTTTGCAAATCACTTTTGGTGCACTCACCATTTGGGGGCTTGCCTCTGTGGAATCAGCAAATCATGGCATATTTTCATATATAAAAACTTTTCATCTCATCGTAGGAACAGGATTAATGATACTTGCTGCGTAGGTATTTTGGTCTATAATTGAGAAAATGAAATCGTTCAATCAAATTTTTAGTTACATTCTATTTTTCATTTATTTTTTATTTGGTAGAGTTAATATTTATCTTGGAATTGGGCAGCTTAACGTGAGCCCGATATTCACCTACATTTATTTTACATGGCTAGGTACGCATTTACATAATGGTTTGAAATTTCTTAACTTCAAATACTCAAATGTTTGTCTTTCATTATCAAAAAGGTATATTGGTTCTATTATATATTTGTACCGAATGTTGGTACAAATATAATAGTAACAATAAACTTTTTAAGATTATAAATGATCCCGAAGTAAACAATAAACGTGGAAGACTTCGTAATGAAATTCCAAATGAGGTTTATGAAAATCTTCCAACATTCACATGGAAAGTAAGTTGTTTTTAGATAATTCTATTATTATTAAAAAAAGATGATCTGCTTAAATATTTATTCAATAGATGATCAACGAGAGAATAATTGGTGGCGCTTTACTTGTTGTCGCAGAAAATCTCGTATTTGATATCCGCAAATGGATATACACGCATCCCGGTGGTATGTAGTTTTAGTCGGTATTTATTTATACTGAGTAAATTGTCTATGTACTATACTTATTATAAAACTTTATTCAGGTGTCAAAATATTACAACGAGTGTGGGTTTTTACACATATATACATATTTTCAAAAGCATATTATTGACGTATTCTAATTATATGATACATTATCAGTATTGGAACTGATATATCTGGTGTTTTTTTCAACGATAAAAATCTGGAAATTAAAACCGACGAATTTAAGAATAAGGATTCAGTTCATACGGTTGATCTTTATGAAGAGGGTGAAGATCAAAATAAAAAAGTGTCAAGACGAAAATCTTCAATAAAACGGAGACATACAATAGCTGATACAATGGATCGTATAAATGTTACCCTAGTAAAGGATTTACGGATTGTTATGCATAGTCATTCCAAGTTTGCAACCGCAAAATTAGCTTCAATGGTTATAGGGAAATTAGAAAAAACCGAATTTAATGAGTTTAAAAAGGACTCTACTAGTGAGAACATTATCTCTTCATCCGCAATGTTACCTAGAGAAACAGAAAGCTTCAAAAGATATGTATTGGTCAATAAAGATAATGTCACTGGAATTTACGCGGAAAGACCTGTCAAAAAATTCATCTTTCAGGTCATTGATCCTAATGACAGTGTACCAAAAATCACGCCTGGAGATTACATAGAAATAATGTGTCATATAGAAGGCCAAGTTGTTATACGATGTTATAATTTATTCAAATTAAAATCCCCAAAGTGTTTCTCCATTATAGTAAAGATCTATAAGGATGGTCTTATGTCCACGTATTTGGTAAACCTATTTAATCATTGATTTCTTTTAACGCCTATTTAATTGTACACCAATTTTTTTTTTTAAAACAAATCGCAAACATTTTTCATCAACTAAAATAGGATAAATTATTAGATGGATTTGAAATAAAAGTACGTGGTCCTTTTGGAATTGATAGACGGGTGGATGAGCTTATTCCTCGACCACTACCAAATTCCAATCCATTACTAAATCCCGATTCTGTTGATGGTTGCTGGGATACGCTATTTATGCTCTGCGGCGGAAGTGGACTTTCACCAATGTTACAATTAGTAAGTTCCTTTCATAATTAATAATTATTTATGAAATTTATTTCATTAACTTTTTGAAACTTTACTAGATTGATTATCATTTTGAACATGAAGACAGAGATTTTAAATTATATTTACTTTTTGCAAATGAAAAACTACATGACATAATTCTTAAAAGATATTTAGACAAATTGGAAATTGCTAGTAATGGAAAACTGAAAGTAACACATATTTTAAAATCTCCACCAAAAAAATGGGATGGATTAATTGATCATGTAGATGAGGATATTATTTTTGATTGGATCTCTAAAAATTATACACCAAAACCACCAAACCCACCAAAACCCAGTGAAAATATATATTTCGATATCAATTATCAAAATTTTACTACTGAAAGTCCAAGAGAGTCCATTGAAGTTGAAAGATCAAGTCAAGCTGATAACAGGACTGAATACATGAGTGCTCTTGCTAGAGATAAGTCGGGTTTTAAATTTGTATCATGTGGACCCTTGGCAATGCTTAATGTTGTTAATGAAATCCTAGAGAATATGAAATTTCCAGAAGAAAAATTCATCATCATTCGATAATCAATATATGCAATTAATTTATACATCATAAATCACATTGGATATAGAATCATAGCAAATTATTCTAAGAAATTTTTTACCATAAAACAAACTGCTTATTGTAAATAGGATTGACCACTAGAGTTTAAATCAATTTTATTTTTTATGTGATAAATCTGAATTTAACATATAAAAAATAAAAACTTTAGAATTAACGTATTTTGTTTACAGATTACTAGCTAAAACAAACAAGACATGAATATTTCTATTTATCTTTTTTCTAGCAAAATTAATATGGTTTCGTTAAAATGGTTTTTATATATACTGTTATTTATACCCATAATATAATTTAGCAATATATTTCATTAATTCATTTATTACTATTTTAATATATTTTTTTTAAAAAAAAATAAATAATATACTTTTTCTTGCAAAAATTGCCGTTATTTTGATTTTTAAATAATAATATAATTCATAACATTATAAAGACAAAAAAAAAAGTTCTTTTAAAATTATGTTAAAATGTATAAGCGCGCAGGGATGTAATTTTAAATTTGGCCTAAATTAAGCTTAATTCGGGCCAACGATCAAAATCCTGAGCTATTGTTGTTAGATGAAACCTTTTTCGCATGATGACACCTCTGACGAAAGTTTAAACCTAAATTATTCTGACGAAAGACGAAACATCAAACTTAAAATGACGAAACCTTACACTCAAAAAGACGAAACCCGCCAAAAGAATAAAATAAAATAAAATAAAAAAACAAAGATTATTTTTCTTTGAACCAACATTCATAATATTCAGAGAACAATATTCGAAATTACATGTATGCCAGCAAAAATAAACCAGTTCATTTTTTCTGGACAATGCTAGGGTTGTTATAGACCGGTTGAATAGCTTTGTCAAAAAGCCATAGTACTCATGGAATAACAAATAATGAATTAAAACATACTATAGCACAAAATAAATTTGTAATATCACAAAGTAAGCACCAAGCGAGAACAATATAATATAGAATACTCCCTTTAAACAATTCAAGCGCCTAACAATAAAATGTTTTGTTTTTTTATCACATAATCCTCAATGATTTTCAACATTTATTTATATTTGTCTTTTATTAGTTTCGTCGCCTTTACAGTTTCGTCAGTTTCGTAATTTCGTAATTTAAAGTTTTTAATTGACGAAAGACGAAACTAGGTTTCGCGTTTCGTCAGCGCGAAACCTCGATGTTTCGTCTAACAACTATACCCTGGGCATTATTTTATGCTTAATTATGGTTTTATAATAGGTGTATAACTAGTAACAGTACGATAAAAATATTTTAGAATGTTTGAAAGCATTATATAAAATTTTAAAAAATAAATTTTTACATAATGTTATTATAATATTCAAACATCTTTATCATATTATTATTATTATTATTTTAAATTGCTTACCATATTGGCGTGTAATAATGCACATTGGCGTTATTTCGAAACACTCGTTTTTTGAAAACTGTTTTTTTGACTTAAGATAACGTCTATGCGCGTCCCAAAATAACGCGCCCCCCTAAATGCACCATATTACATACTTTGATCGAAATTTTCAGGCCAAGTTCATTAATAAAAGTAGGGCTTTCTCTTGCAACCAAAAAATTTGTCAAAATGATTCGAATTACCGCACATGCGCGTCCCAAAATAACGCGCAGGGTCTCGAAATAACGCGTAGATTCACGTTATTACGCGCCAATACGCTACGCTGTAATTTTATTTATTAATCGAAATTAATTACATATTACAGTATATTTAATGACACCCATTCTAGCAATTTAGTTGTGCCTTTTCTAATTCTGAAACTTAGCCGACAACACTACATTATCTAGCCAATCTCTAGATGGCGTACAACCTACCTATTCTTTATCATATTATAATTACTATATAGTTATAAACATATTATAAAGACAAAAAAACATAACTAATAGATTATATTATTCATAGAAAATAATAAAAATTATATAATATTAATTTTTATTCTATCTAAACTAATTTATTATTTTTTAAATAAAAAACTATATATATTTAATATTGTATTTTTGAAAAAAAAATAGGCTATAAGCATAATGACTTGGTTGACTAATTTTTAAGTATATTAATTTTTTAAAAAGTAAGCTAATTTTTTTTATTTTTATAAAAACATTTAAAAAAATAAAAAAAAAAATATAAAAAAATATAAAAAATAAAAAAATAATAAATTATTTTTTAATATAATAACTTAATATTATTATTCTTTAAGTACAGGTGACTCTCGTTAATATCAACCTATTTGGATTGACTTTAAATCATGTTGATAGTGTGAGGGAATTTGATATATAGAAATTACAAAAACTCAGTTTGTGGCTTAGGTTGATATTAACAAGAGTTACCTGAAACTTGTAACAAAGATGTTTTATTAATGATATTTTTGAATAATAATATACAAACAGACCTCTCTAAATGAAAAATATAGCCAAATATGCATTTAGAGAGATATTGCATTTAGGGTGGCTTTTTATAGGAGTATTATAATAATAAATTTTATCGATTACTTGGATATTATTAACTCTAGTTATACTAGCTTTACTAAAGATTCTAAAAAATATTTATATAATACTAGAGTTATACAAAGAAATACAAACTGATTAGTTAGTAAAAACTCAAAATTAAACACTTGTTTGTTTCTAAATACATGATTATAATCGATTACAAGCAGTTAAATTGATTATAATCGATCGATTTAACCAATTATTATCGCCAGGAATGTTGATAATCAAAATCGATTATAATCAATATACAGTATATAACGATCGATTACAAACGATTTATTGCGGTTTGCATAATTTTGTGACCCCTATGATTAATTTTTTTATGATTAAATGATTGTGATTGCGATCGCAATTGCTAAAGCCAGCCAATTTATCATGAATCTGAGTTTGTATCAAGCTCAGATTTATGATAAATTGGCCGGCTTTAGCAATCGTGATCGCAATCACAATCATTTAATCATAAAAAAAATTGATCATAGAGGTCACAAAATTATGCAAACCGCAATAAATTAATCGATCATAATCAATTTGTATATATTATAATCGATTAAAATCTCTATCGCATTTAATAGCTCAGATTTATGATAAATTGACTGGCTTTAGCAATCACGATCGCAATCATCATAAAAAAAATTAAT